TGTGCTTTTAAACAGACATTTTTACATGGTTTTAATTCTATAAGCAGTTTAATGTCATTTTAAACATAATCTTTATCTATATGTGGGTTTATTTTGTTTCTTTTTATCTTGTAAGCCATCTTGAGTCCCAGGTTTGGAGGGAAAGTGAAGCATAAATAGAACAATACTGTGCAAGTTGATGCCCCCACTGAAGTTCATATACAGAAATAAAATGGATTGACAGTTCAGTCCTTGATTTTGGTAATGAAATTGGTAATATATGGTCCACCACCATACATCGAGGCATAGGTTCATTGGGGGGGGGGGGGGCTAGGATGGCTTGCCTGGCATTCTGTACTTCAGTGGAGGAAAACAGCTGGAAAGTTTATGAGGAACAGCTGAGAGATTGCTCCTGTTGCCACATCTGTTGCCTAAGGTAGTTGCTTTTCATTGCCCAATGGTAGGGCTAGCACTAGAAGATTCTTGGTTCACAATTCGTTCACACTGTTATGATGCTGTGCTTCAAGAGAAGACTTGTTACCTCAAAACCAACACAGGGCCTTGTGGCAGCTTGAGGACTGAACATTTAACTTATTATCACAGAAATGTTTCTTCTCTAGCTCTTTCACTACACTGTTTTACTGAAACTGCAGCATTATGTCACTGCAGAGTTGCCCACATGTGGTTCAGTGTTGTGTATTCCGCTGGGTTTTCCCTGGAAGATACAGCAGAAACTCACAAGAGAAACTTCAGGGGCCGCTCATAAAGCTAGTGCAAATGGTTCCAGGTGGTGAAAAAGATTCTACAATTGTAGCTTTGTTCACTAGACTATATTTATAATTGAGCTGTACTAACAATATTCTGAGAATTAATGTATAAAACCCGTTCCCTGTAAGACTTTACACAGAGTCAGAATAGCTTCTCTTTTCATTCAGTGAATGATTTCATAGCAGGTAATCTCCAATATAAAAAGTTTGCATATTCTGCTTGAGGGAAGAAAAGGACCATAGCCTAGTGGTGCATGGTAAATCACATGTTTTGCCTTAATAAGGGATTCTCGTAGTTATTATCCCAAAAAGTAACTTTTCCAAGCTCTACCTTTCTGTTTATCTAGATCTGGAACTATGACCATGGTGGCTGCTCTATTTTCACCATGAAGGTGCAATCTTCATGGTGACAACAGAGCAGCCAGCATGAGAGGAAACAATACATAGTGCAATGGATAACTCATTCGCACCTGAACTCAAATTTTGAGTTGCTCTCTGTGTTATTAGTCCCTTTTTGGAAAGGTGCTAAATGAACGTGAACACAGCTTATGTTTTAGATCCCCTCCAGCTTGCAGAATCAGACTGTATAGGTCCAGATATGAAGGGAATGCTTCATGATAATTTATCTATG